CAGTAGATGCGGACATACAGAACGACGATGGCCGACAGGATGACAGAGAAGATGGTGACCACGCAGAGCACGTAGTCTTTGGTGTAGAGCGGCAAAACGGTGGAACAGGTCTCGAGGTGATCCAGGCAGTTCCAACCGAGGATGGGCAGGCCCCCGAGAACCAGTGAGATGAGCCAGGAGGCCCCGATCAGCAGCAGCATGCGGCAGCTCTTGTCGCTGCCGTAGACCTTGACCTTGGCAATGGCCACATGGCGCTCGATGGCGATGGCCAGGAGGCTGAAGACAGAGGCAGAGAGTGTGATGAAAGCCGAGCCCTCACGGGCAAACCACTGCACGGGGGTCAGGTGCACGGTGACAGAGCCCGAGAGCAAGGTATTGGCAATGAAGGCCACGCCCGCCAGCAGGTCCGAGGCGGCCAGGTTGCCCAGGAACAGGTACATGGCTGAGTGGAACTTGCTGTTTCGGGCGACGGCGATGAGCACCAGCAGGTTCTCCACCACGATGGCACAGCAGAGGATGATGATGAGGACCAAGGCCACCTGGCGGGACAGTGTCTGCGGGACGTCGAGTGTCTCCTTGGTGTAGTTATAGTGCTCCAGGACCTTGGTGGGGCTCAGGTACTCCGAGTACAGGCTGCCCATGGTGGGGCTCAGTGGCCGGCAGGGGCCATGGAGCTGTCAGAGCTGCAGAGAGAAGAGACGGATAGGCAGGTCAGTGGTGTGGATGCTGCCTGGGCTCTGACGTTGGACGTCTAGGGGTTGAGTCCCAGGGCCATCCCTCCTCACTGAGTGGCCACCTAAAGTCAAAATGACCATGATCCCTGCTTTACAGATGGGAAAGCCAGAGAATCAACTCACTTTGCCAAAGTCTCAAAGTTAGTAAGTGGCAGAGTCAGAGCGACCGGCTCCAAAGCCTCTAGACCAGCGGTTCTCAGCCTGTGGGTCGCGACCCCTTCGAGGGTCGAATGACCCTTTCACAGGGGTCGCCTAAGACCATCGGAAAACACATATATAATTACATATTGTTTTTGTGATTAATCACTATGCTTTAATTATGTTTGATTTGTAACAATAAAAATACATCCTGCATATCAGATATTTACATTACGAATCATAACAGTAGCAAAATTACAGTTATGAAGTAGCAACGAAAATAATTTTATGGTTGGGGGTCACCACAACATGAGGAGCTGTATTAAAGGGTCACGGCATCAGGAAGGTTGAGAACCACTGCTCTATAGCCTCTAGGCTACACTGTCTCTCAGAAGCTCCCCCAACGGCATGAAGGACACCAAGTGGACCTCCAGAAGCCTTGCCCGCCTACCCAGAGGTGGAGCTGTGGGCAGGAACCGGAGGGATCGCCCCTTTTCTCAAATACACCGGAGCCTGGGGCCTCGTGCCACCTGCCAACCTGGTCAGAGAGATGCTTGGTGCCGACAGCACCATCCCCTGCTCATGACCACCCACGGCCCTAGATTTCAGGCTGGGCGTAAGCCTGGAGGCTGTGGGTGCTCCCAAAATAAGGTCTGGAGGAGAAACCAGGTTGGCCCTGAGGTTCCAGCATCCCAGAGGTCATGTCACCCCAGAGGACAGAGGCCTGGAAGACAATCTAGTGTCAATGCCACACCCCCTCTGACATGCTGTGGGGTCTTGGGCAAGTCAATCGGCGCGCAGCCCCAGTGTCGTCATCTGCGCAACGGGGAGAAGCAAGCCCACTTCACCGGGTGACAGAAAAATCCTGTTGAACAATGCAGGAGGCAGCCTTCCCACGTAACAAGCGCGAAATAAATACGATTAGTTCCCTTCTTCCTGCCGCACTATGCTGGGGACTAGCTGCCCTCCACCCAATCTTTTGGGAGGGGATGCTGACGGAGCCAGCCCAGCAAGATTCCCAACAGCCTGTTCTCATCAGCACCATCTAGCCCTGCCCTTGGACAGAGGGTCCAGAGGGATAGGCAGGGCGCTGGCACCCCCTCCCAGGCCGGATGAAATCCAGATGTGAGGCCCCTAGAACAAACAGGGTGGAGTCCTGGTTCCCCAGTCACATCCGCTGTGGGGAAGGCGGGGAGAGGGTGATGGGATGGGGGAGAGAGAGACACGGGAGACCAGTCTGGGAGGTCCTGGCTGGGAGGATGGGGCAGCTGTGCTGAAGTCATGTGAGAGGTGAGGGGGTGTGCAGCCCCGCGGGGAGGGGGGGCGGTATTTGTTTCCATGAAAGCCTGAGTCACCCCCTCTCAAGGAAAACCAATCCGTCGGGGAGGGGGCGGGAAGAGGTGCAGAGAGGATGCAAGGACACCACGGCCGGCCTCCCTCCAGCTTGGGAGGGAGGTGTCTCAGAGGAGCGGTGCAGCCTGCCTTTCACGAGGGGAACCATTTGCTAAAAGAGGGTGGGGGATGGGGCGCAGGAAGAGCCCTCCCCAGGTCCCTGGAAACATGTCTGCCAAGGCCTGGCAGGGACCACGTGTGCGTCAGGACCCGCCTTCCAGAAAAGGCTGGTTAGGCCGGTTCCCTGTGAGCCCCGGGAGTGAAGGGGGACTTCCGGGGTCGCTCGGCCATCTCTGTCACCATCACCGGTGCCCCCTCAGGGAGGTGGCCCGGACCTTGGCCGGACAGAGAAGCAGCTGCTCCCCTTGGGCGAAGGGACATCCGTCCTAGTTTGGGAACAGAGAAGGGCTTGTGTGCATCCCCGGGGCTGCTGCCCTGCCCAGATCGCCACACAGAGGCCCCTTGTTCCTGTACAGGACAGAGCTCTGGCGCCCCGATGCCCTCTGCCCGCCGCAGAGCCCAGAAGCAGGCTTAGCCCTACCAGACCCACGGTCGGGCCAGAAACAGCCCGCACCCTGATTGGCTTATTTTCAATTCCAGGGTATTGGGCTATTCGCTCATTGGCCTGAGCTTCCCATCTTCGGCTTCTGATTGGCCCAGTTTGGGAGCGCTCAGCAGCTACCACCACTGAACTGGTCCTTTCCTGGAGGCTGGAACTCACTGCTTTCCGAGGAGAATTAAAACTGTGTGAATGTCCCTGGGGAGAGTTTGAACTGTAGTCTGACCGCCAGGTCATCCTAACCAGACATCCCCAGGCTGCCCTGGCCTACTGGGACCCTCCTGGAGTTTAACATTGAGAATCAAAAACCCGTCACTGGCCTGGGAAGCACCCTTGCTAGTGGGGCCAGAAGTGCAGGGCGTGTCCTGTGGCTGCCCCCTCCTTCCCTGAAGGAGGGCCACCACCCTCTCCAGTCAGGCGGCCAAGAGACAGATTTATGGCCACTTCCTGGAGAAATAAGAAATGGGGTCAGCCCTGGCTGGTTTGGCTCAGTGGACAGAGCACTGGCCTGCAGACTAAAGGGTCCCAGGTTCAATTCCAGCCAAGGGCACATGCCTAGGTTGTGGGCTCGGTTCCCAGTGGGGGGCGTGCAGGAGGCAGCCAATCAATGATTCTCTCTCATCATTGGTGTTTCTCCCTTCCTCTCTGAAATCAATAAAAACATATATTTAAAATAAATAAAAGAAATGGGTTCGGCCCTCGAACCCCAGGAACTGACCAAAAAGTCTATCTCTTCCCTGGGAGGGAGGACCAGGGCACTGCACCCTCATTTTCTGCAGCCCCAGGAGGCTTGTAGGCATCCTCAGAGGGGTGGCTCTCCGAGTAAGAGAAGGGGAAACTGAGGCCCACACGACTTCATCTTCCCAACTAGAGTTTTGCTAACTAAAGCAGGAGCTTAAGGTAGGTTGGTGCTTTCCAGAAAGAGGAAGCCAGCCCCGGGTTGGGGCTAGCAGATGCATGCCTCGCCTGCTTCTCCTCCCTGGGTGGGCTCCCAGGCCTGGCTACACACCGGGCCTGTCTCCTGCTCACCTTTACCAAGGCAACCCTGACTCCCTCCCAGAGGCTCCGCAAGAGGTCACTGGGCTCGAAACCAGGGAATGTCCAGGCCTGAAATGGAGCAAGAGGGACAAGTGGGAACAAGAGGCAGGGTTGGGAAGGGCAGGGAAGAGACACAGATCAAGATTGTTCAGGGGGTGATTAGGAGGGAGGAAGGCAGGAGGCAGCTCCGTGCTTCCAGGAGCCCCTCCCCCGAGTTCCACTGAGGCAGGGCCTGTGGTTCAGTTCTCCATGGTCACTCACTGATCCCATGCCTCTTGCCTAGGGCAGCGGGCCCCAAACCCCCACTTTCCTTCGGTTTCTCTTCAGCTGTCAGGTCCCTCCTACACTGCCATTCTCCATACAGCAGCCTGGGGAGCTCCAATATGTCACTCCAAATTCTTCCATGGCTCCCCACTGCCCCAATCGGCGTGGCCCCTGGCCAGTTAGCTTCCTCCCACTCTCCCCCTGAGCCGTTCCACTCCAACCACACTGGCCTCCTACAGGCCAACCCCACCTCCTAGCCTTTGCCCCTGCTGTTCCTCCACCCAGCATGCCCTTCCCCCAAATCCTTGAGTAGTCTTCGTTCCCCCAGGGGTCTCCTCATCTTTCAAATTTCAGTTTTAAGGTCACTTGCTCTGACCCCTGGTCTAGTATAGCGGCTGTCTCCTCAGAGCATCTTGCTTTGTTATCTTGGCAGCACTTAACACTTGTGAAAAGCATGATTTCTAGTTTTCTGTCTGGCTTCCATCGTAGAATGTGTCAGCAACCAAGTCCACTTGCAGCCCCTTTGGATGGAGACCTCGCATACACACGGTGCTCAGAAAACATGTGGGATGGATGTGGATAAACAGATGGACGGATGGATGAATGAATGAACGAACCAACCAATCAACCAGCCAACGAAAAACAAATGAGGCCCCAGTGGGCCAGGGCGGGTGGAGGCTCCTAAGTTCAGCCCAGCCCCAAACAGCAAAGTGGGCTGGAGACGCCCCGGGTGTGCTGGCAGCCTCCCTGCTAGGCAAGCCCAGATGCCCAGAAAAAGGCGACAGGACCCGCCCCCGCCCTTGGGCCACAGTCTCAGCCTCCTTATCTGGCGGTGGAATGTACGGTATCCACACTTGGGCTACTGGGGCCGCACCTCCTTTCTCTTTCGCCATACACACGCACAGTATTCCACAGCTGCCATGGGGTTGGGGGACCCCTCCCCGTCCCGCCAGGTGCCCTGCCCCAATACTCCCAGAAGACACGGGGGTGCGGGTGGGGGAGATCCCAACCTCAGCCGCACGGCAAGCGCCGCACCGGTGTCGGTGTCGCGCCACAGGGGAGACTGTGGGCTCAGCGCGTGGCGCCCGGAGCATCTGACTAGAAGAGTTTGGGGAGGGGGTGGAAATCCCCGGTGAGTCAACTCGTGCCGGAGGAGGGGGCGAGGTTCCGAAGCTCTGCTGGGCCTGGGACCCAGCGGGGCCCATGCCGCGCGCGCCTGCACCCCCGCCCCATCCCCGGGCCCCAGAGGGGAGGGAGAGGAGCCGGAGCCACAGTCACGCTCCCTTCTCTTCCAGAACAAAGCCAGGTCCCCGCGGGGGACCTGAAGACGACTTGAGGAAACTGAGGCAGAGCGCCAGATGTGCAGACGGGCCGACTGCCCTCGCCAGGGGCCCCGCCCCTCGGCTTGGCGGCTCCGCGGCGCGCAGCACCTTTTGCTCAACCCGAGTTAGCCAAGAGGGGCGCCCTACCCACCTCCTACGCACTCCCCAAACTCCCCGGCACGCCGTCCTGTCTCCCAGTCTCCGGTCAAAAGGGCTTGGATTCCGCCTTCTCGGAGCCAACTTCCTGCCGCTGGGTAAGCGCAGTCAGGGGTTCGCGGCCGAGCCCGTGGGGGGCCGCCTGGAGTCGTGGAGAGGGCGCACGACGACCACTCCCCGGTGCAGCGGGGGCACGGCGACGCGTGCGCGCCCCGGACCCCGGCCAGGCCCCCCACCCCGCCGCCACGGCTCGGATCCCGCGACCCGAGAGGACCGAGCCCGCCTTTGATTCCTCCCCCTTGCCACGCATGCTCACCTGGCTAGGCGGACCCGGGTCCCGGCCCTGGCCGGAGGGGCTTTGGCATCAGCGTTCCCGGGACGGCCTCGGCTGGGGCTGGGGCTGCCCGCCGGGCTCGGCTGCGTCCCGGGGCTGGGGACTAGACGGAGCGGGGGGCGGGGAGAGGCTCCGCCTTGGCCCCCCCACTCGCCCCGCCCTCTTCTCCTCCTTTCGGGAGGCCCAGCAATGCATTCCAGATGTGGTCTGGCTGCCCGGCGCGCGCGGAGGCCGGCGGGGGCGGTGCGCCAGTCCCTTTGTCCGCGCCCCCCCCCCCTCCCCGGGGCCCTGCCCCTCCCAGGTCCTCCCGTGAGAACCGGCTGGAGCTTGACGTCACTCGGCCCCGTGACTTTATGTCCCTCCTGGCCAGGTGGCCTGAACCTGAAACAGCTGTCTGCAAGTACGGATTTATTCTGGCCCATCCCTGGGACCCTGGAATTGGAGGAGAGCACGGGATCCCCTTTACTCAACAAGAAGCCACGAAGCACCTACTGTGTGTCAACGCAGCAATTAGGCACCAAGGCCTATTGTGTGTTCATTTAAAAAATAATCAAGTTCCTACCATGTGCCACGCACTGTCCCAAATACAGAGCTGATTTTTGCCTTGATAGGATCCCAGAATTCGGCGCTGCCTCCTGTCCCCTAGAAGACGCAACCCACAGCCTACCTGCCTTTGCCCATGGCTGCCCCGCCCTCGCTGCCAGGTCCAAGTTGTACCCTGCCTTCCAACTTGGGGCCCATCCTCTATCTGGTTCTTGAGTTTCCCCCTCTTTTCCTCATTCAGCCTGCACTAGTTGTGAACATGCATAAGTAACCTGCTTATATGTTTATTTACCAAACACACTAAACATCTGGTAGGTGCCAGACACTGTTCTAAAGGATAGAGACAAATCAGGGTACAAAACAGGCAAAACTCCCGGCCCCGTGCGGCTGATGTTCTACCTGATGTGTGCAGAATATCCAGAATATTGCAAGAAGAAACTGGTAAATGTCCTGGGGAAGGAGGCGGTTCCACTCTATGAATCCTTTGTACCTTTTGGCTGTTGTAACGTGCACATTATTGTAACATGTTTAAATATTCCAACAATAAATTAAATTAAAAATTAAGCCTGCTTGCCCAGCTGGTGTGGCTCATTGGTTGAGCATTATCCTATGCACCAAGAAGTTGCCGGTTAGATCCCTGTCAGGGCACAGGCCCTGGGTTTCAGGCTTGATCCCCAGTAGAGGGCGTGGAGGAGGCAGCCAATTGTTTCTCGCTCATGTATGTTTCTCTCTCTCCCTTCTCCCTCTCCTTTCTCCCTCTCCCTTCCTCTCTCTAAAAAATACATAAAAAAAAATATTTTTAAAAAAATTAAAACTGTTTGATACCCAGACAGTGCAATAAAAAGAAGGGAGAAGGTAGGTGCTTCAAAAAACAACAACAACAATATTATGAAAAAGGGTATCTCCACTCCCACGTGTATTGCAGCATTATTCACAATAGCCAAGACATGGAAACAACCTAAGTGTCCCTCGGTGGATGGCTGGGTAGAGAAAATGTGAGCCCTGGCCGGTTTTGCTCAGTGGATAGAGCATTGGCCTGCAGACCAAAGGGTCCCAGGTTTGATTCAGTCAAGGGCATTTACCTTGGTTGCAGGCTCCTCCCCGGCCCAGGCCCTGGTTGGGGCTCATGCAGGAGGCAACCCATCGATGTGTTTCTCTTACATCAATGTTTCTCTCAGTCTTTCCTTCTCTCTTCCACTCTCCCTAAAAATCAATGGAAAAATGTCCTCAGGTGAGGATTAACAACAACAACAACAAAGCAGAAAAAGTGATATATGTTTTTCATATATATAATGTTCCATTTATAATTTCATATATATAAAATATATATAATGAAATATTACCTAGCCTTAAAAGTAGGGAGTCCTGTCATTTGCAACAACATGAGTGGACCTTGAGGGCATTATGCCAAGTGAAAAAAGTCCCATGGTGTCACTTGTATATGGAATCTAAAAACAGAAAGTCAAACTCACAGAAACGGAGAGTAGGAAAGTGGCTGCCAGGGGCTGGGGTGAGGGAAATGGGGAGAGGTTGGTAAAAGGCTACGAACTTTCAGCAGTAAGATGAAATAAGGTGTGAGAATCGAATGTGAAACATGGTGACTATAGTTGATAATATTGTATGATATGGAAATGTGCTGAGAGTAGAACTTAAATGTTCACACACACACACACACACACACAACACCTCACAAAAACAGATAAATAAGTGAGGTGATGGATGTATTAATGAAATCAATGGGAGAACTCTTTCAGAATGTATACGTATATCAAATCACTATGATGTGTGCTTTAAATACCTTATAATTTTTTTATGTCAATACAGCTGAAATTAATGAAACAAAAAAAAAACTAAACTGCTTGATACCTTCATAAAGGGTATTGAAAAGCAAAATGATGAAAAAGGAAATTAAAATGGACCCATTAAGCCCTAACCGGGTTGGCTCAGTGGATAGAGCATCAGCCTGCAGACTGAAGGGTCCCAGGATCGATTTCTGTCGAGGGCACATGCCTGGGTTGCGGGCTCCATCCCCAGTAGGGGGCGTGCAGGAGGCAGCCCATCAAAGATTCTCTCTCGTCATTGATGCAATATAAAAAAATACATTTAAAAAATGGACCCATTAATGCTCATTACAAAATTAAAATGGAGTAGCCTTGTTTGTACTGAGTGAAATTGTCTTCACCGTGTTAACTTGAAAAAAAAGCACAATGCAGAACAGTTTGCATCGTTTGCCTGAACTTCTGGGTGTATTTATAAGGGCTGTGTAAATACACACACATGTGCCTCTCTGGGAGAAGGCACAAGACACCCGTCACAGCGGTTAACCTCGGAGGGCACTGAGCGGGGGGCAGGAGGATAGGCGAGAGGGTGTCAAACTTTTCATCCTGTGCCCTGTAAGACTGTTTGAAATTTTTAGCTCACATTACCAATCCAAAAAACTTACAAAGACATAAAAATTAAATAACAGGTAACAATCACCAGACGTTTAGTTGTAAAAATCATTCCTGTAATAATAATCATAATCAATGTAAATATACAAAGCACGGTTAATAAAGATATCGATATTATTATTCAACGTATCAATACTAACAAATTTATATTAAGAATAAACGTGTTGCCCGGCCAGCATGGCTCAGTGGTTAAGCATTGAACTATGAAGCAGAAGGTCACGGTTCGATTCCCAGTCAGGGCACATGCCCAGGTTGCAGGCTTGATCCCCAGTGTGGGGGCGTGCAGGAGGCAACCGATCAATTATTCTCTTTCATCATTGATGTTTCTATCTCTCTCTCCCTCTCCTTTCCTCTCTGAAATCAATAAAAACAGCTTTTTTGTTTACACTATAAGTGCAAGTTCTTTTTTAAAAAAATCTTTATTGTTGTAACTATTACATATGTCCTCCATTTCCCCCCATTGACCCTTCTAGCCTGCCCCCACCCCAGGCTTTCACCACCCTATTGTCTGTGTCCATGGGTTATACATATATGCATACAAGTTCTTGGTTGGCCCTAACCAGTTTGGCTCAGTGGATAGAGCATCAGCCTGTGGACTCAAGGGTCCCAGGTTCGATTCCAGTCAAGGGCATGTACCTTGGTTGTGGGCACATCCCCAGTTAGGGGGTGTGCAGGAGGCAGCTGATCAATGTTTCTCTCTCATTGATGTTTCTAACTCTCTATTCCTCGCCCTTCCTCTCTGTAAAAAAATCAATAAAATATATATATAAAAAAAAGTTCTTGGTTGATTTCTTCCCACCCACCCACCCACCCACCCAATAAAAACATATTTTTAAACAATTAAAAAAAAATAAACATGTTGCCCGGGCCCCATTTTCTCAGTGGTTAGAGCACCAGTCCAAGAACCGAAGGGTCTTGGGTTTGATTATTGGTCAAGGGCATGTATGTACCTGGGTTGCAGGTTCAATCACCTGCTGTTCAGGGAAAGTACGGGAGGCAACACATCCCCGATTTGATGTTTCTCACATCAATGTTTCTCTCTCCTTTCCCCTCTCTCTAAAATCAATAAACTTATCCTCAGGTGAGGATAGTTTTTAAAAGTATTTAAAAAATAAACATGTTTACATGATTAACAAAGGAATGCATAAAGATTATATTAATGCTACATATATGTGTGCAGCATATACTATATAATAAAAGGCTAATATGCAAATCGACCGAACAGCAGAACGACTGGTTGCTATGACGCGCACTGACCACCAGGGGGAAGACGCTCAGTGCAGGAGTTGCCCCCTGGTGGTCAGTGTGCTCCCACAGAGGGAGCTCTGCTCAGCCAGAAGCGGGGAGTGAGCCTAAGCCATCAGTCGGACATCCCCCGAGGGGTCCCAGATTGGAGAGGATGCAGGCTGGGCTAAGGGACATCCCCCCCACCCCCCCAGTGCACGAATTTTGTGTCCAGGCCTCTAGTATATTCATATAATGCTCTGTGCAGGTTCTGGTGATGCCTCCTGGGTCTCTGCCACCCAGACCTGACAGTCTGATGAAGGAGACAGTGAAGAAGCCAGACAGTTCTAACAGCGTAACAGGGCTTTGATGCGGAGATAAGGAAAGAGACTGTGACTTTGCTCCTTTTCCTGAACCAGATTTCAGCGTCCACTCATTTCAGGGCCAGATCTTGGGGTCCACTGACACCTCAGCAAAACCCCACTGAGTCCTCTGCCAGGTGAAATGTCTTGCCTGAGCAACTGCTCGAAGCCAGGTGTTCAACACACAGGGGACAAGGCAGAGAGCAAACTGGGTCTCTTCTCGACGGGGAGCTATCAGAGCGGAAATCTCAGCTCTTTGTGGGGACCTGAAGGCTGGGGAGGAAGTGACCCCCCCACACACACTTGCCTGGGCTGGCTCAGCAGTTTGCCATTCCCCCAGGGACCTGGGGGTGGGGATGATGTCAAGGCCACAGACATATCTGGCGTCTGTTAGAGAGACCATGGCTACTAGACAAAGGTGATATCCTCAGAGACACAGAGATACACCCATAAGCAACTTCCGTCCCCTCTTCTCAGCCCTCCCACCGCCCACTTCTGGGGCAACACAAGGTCTCCGCTGGGTCAGCTGAGGGAACGGCTGGAGAACTGGAAAACACGGGAGGCCTGGATTTCCTGAGAGTCGGCAGGGGTGGGGAGATGGGGGCACAGGGGAAGCTGCTCTAAGGGGGCTCCTGAGAGAGAACAGCGGACGAAGGAGGAAAGGACCCTCCTCTTGGGGAGCTACCAGGAAGGGAAACTAGAGGTGAAGCGCCTCGGAGCAGCCTCTACTGATGATAGGGCCGCTGACAATGGCTAAAGCTCACGTGGCACAGACTATTCTGAGTGCAACTCCGAACCCTCCCAATCCTAGGAGGTGGGGAATATTATCATCATCCTATTGTTTTAAATCGGCTTTATTTTTAGGACAGTTTTAGGTTCACAGCAAAACCGAGCGGAAAGTACAGCGATTTCTCATACACCCCCGCCCCCTGCCCTCAGGCATGCAAAGCCTCCCCCTCTATCAACATGGCACCACAGAGGTGCTTTGGTTATCATTGATGAGCCTACATTGATACACCATTAGCACCCCAAATTCAGAATTTACACTGTGGTTTGCTCTTGGTGTTGCACCTCCTGTGGGTTTGATGAAACATATAGTGACTTGTACGCATACAGAATGGTTTCCCTCCCCTAAAGATTCTCCGAGCTTTGCCTATTGATCCCTCCCTACCCCCAAACCCCTGATCTTTTTTTTTTTAAGAATAGTTTAGTGATTTTTAGAGAGAGAAGAAGAGAGAGAGAGAGGAAGGGAGAGGGAGAGAGAAAGAGAAACATCAATGTGAGAGGGGAACATCCATAGGTTGCCTTCTACGTGCCCCCTACCTGGATCGAGCCCCAAGCCCAGGCATGTGATCTGACCAGGAATAGAACTGGCAACCTTTGGGTGCACTGGGTGATGCCCAATCCACTGAGCCGCACTGGCCAGGGCACCCCTGATCGTTTTACTGTCTCCACAGTTTTGCCTTTTCCTTCTCACCCCAATTTAAAGATGAAGAAGCTAAAAAAACAACAACAACAACAACAAAAAACAAAACAAAAAA